CCACCTTCTACTCCATTGAAGGTCATCTCAGAAAATCCCTGAATTTCCCTCTTCCCTGGCCAATGGCAAGAAGGATTTATTGTTGTGTCATGTTTGTGTGGTTAAAATACTCAATATGAAATATTTACATTCCTAAAATAAAGCTTTTAAAATTTACTGGTGCTTCTCCTGATATTGTTGGATGGTGTTCAGAGTCATTGGAAAGAAAAACCAAATGAAAAATAGAAAAGAGACATGGCAAGGCAAAGTATTACATGGTCAGTACACAAAGAAAACCTAGGAGGTAAAGCAAATAACAAGACTTGGCGATGATTATGAGCAGGAAAGTTGGAAAAAAGGGACAGATTCTGGCTGTACAAGACCAAGCCTTAAGAACAAATGCACACAAAGCTGGAATTGAGAAGATAGCAACAGAAAGCAAGTGCTTTTTCTACAACCTAGTTAGCTTCTGCAAGAAGACTACAGAGATTGATTACAATCACATGATAAAATAGCAACAATGGCATATTGGAACGACTACAAGAAATGCCATTTGCCTGCCAGCAAAGAATTGGTGGGATTATAAAATAGACAAAATAATAGCAAATGAAGAAGCTAAAATATGTTCTGACTTTAGAATACTAACAGACAAGCACTTGCCATGTAACACGCCAGACCTAACAACTGTTGATAAAAAAAAAAAAGGCTGAATAATAGAGGTTCAGGACTTGAAGAAAGCAGAATAGAAAAGAATGAACTGGAGACAATCACAAAGACCTGCAAATAGAACTAGAATGACTGTGGGAAATGTGGTACCAATATTAAAATGCACCAATGTTAATACACTCCATGGGTGCAATCCGAAAATATATGGGACTGAACACTGCACAGATTGACAAAATCATCATCAGACAGTTGCCAATGGCAGCTTTACTTGGAACAGCTCACATCCTGCAACAGTATGTCTAACCCTATCAAACAACAACATTTGCCTATGCCAGGTCCTTGGAAGGATTCAGTAGGTAGACAAAAAGGCAGAATCTAGTCTAAATATCTATCTGACGGTGTGACCAACCATAATAATTCATTCCTTTATGCTTTAATGCTGCTTAAGGAAGAAGCAGCAGAAGTCAAACCACTTGTAGCATAAATTTCTAACCATCTTTACAGCCATGATTTCAGGCAAGACAGTGTGCCCAAATACCTATTAGCACAATTCTACCCTAGCTACTTAATGCTTTCCTCAAAAGGAGAAAATCAAGTTGGTCAAAATGTCTGGAGTTGTTCTAATATAGTTTGAATTTGGCCACCCAGGACATTCTCCAGGGAGGAAGATAAAGACAAGTTGAGTTTAGGCTGATCCATTGTTGAAGGTGTTCAAGTTGGCAGTCATGCAAGACCAGGAAAGCTTCAGCTGTACTGGACATTCCCCAAAGAAAACCACAAGGAAGGGAATGTTTGGGTCTTGCTCTGTCTCTATAGAAATTGTAGTTTTTCTCCATCTACCAGTAAGCAAAGAGAATGGTTCCTTTCCTATTTGTTGCATGAAGAATGACGTTAGACATGAGCCTCAGTGGGAGGTATAGTATCAGTGGTGTCTACTTTTGCCTCACTGAGATAAATGAAAACAGCTGGCAAGTAAGTGCTCAGAGTCCTGTGCAATGTTCCGTTCCACAGTTCTCTTCCCATATCAACACAATGTATTTTTTGCACAATTTATAACATGTCCATGTTAAACCCAAACTTCTTTATGCTCATGAGATGACAGTGCTTCACTCCAGTCCTAATATTTGTGTTACCTCCAATATGGCTTGTTCTCTCTTCCAATATTATTACTGTTCATATCTACTACTTTTTCAAAACATCTATACAGCTGAATATGTTTGACTAGTATCTGTTCCAGGTTTCAGATCAGATTTAAAAACTCAGAGGTATTCATTTCATTCTAAATGAAAACACAGCAAATCATTGAAATCAAGCCTAGACTAGGAACTCAATGAGTACATAACAACAGTACAACAACCACAACAAAACAAAACAAAACATTGTTTTAAAACCACTCTTTAACATCAGGGTCCAGTAATTGATGTAAAATTCCTAATACCGGTAACTAATGTATTACAAATGTCTGGGAGAATAGTTTGGGAACAAATCCCAAAGTCAGGACTAATAGCCTACTAATAATTCCATATCATGATTAAGGCAGTATTTTAAAGTTCTTGGAAAATTCTATATTTGTTTGTGAGGATATTACCATGAAGGGAAAAAAATGCTTCTTTATTGTCATAGCAGACTAGATAATGAGTTTTTACTCAAATTTACTTACATTTGTTTTTATTTTCTATCTTCTTAAATTTAAATATCTCCCAACTACCTTCATAAATCTTAGCACAGAACAACAACAAACAAAGTTGGTTTTGTTCAATAGCACCTACTAATTCGCTATTACTGTGCAACTAATTATTTCTGCATCACACTGGTCAGGGCTTCAACAGGTCCAGAATCAAGACAATCAAAACAAGAAAAGCCCTTTTAGGATCTGAAAGCCAATGACATTTATACATCCTGAACTCTTGCAAAAGAGAAATTCACCATCATACTAATTCTCCATAAAAAGGGAACTGACTTGAACAAGCAACATATTCTAAATCCTTCACCTCCAGACCAATAAACTTTTGCCACAGAGAGAGCATTAAATCTAGTCTGTGTCATACAAGAGAGTTGGAACAATTGCATGACAGCTGCTATGATGGATGTAAAATCCTAAACTGACTTAGATCCAAGAAGCTTAGCAGAAAGGAATGTTTGTTCTCCAAGAAAAAATGCTTGGCTGATTCTGCAACATTAGCAATGAGATAGCTTCTTTCACTTCAGACTGGGCAACGAAACTTCTATTTGTTCTGCTCATTCACCACAAAACACAAATACTGCAAAAAAGACATTCATCTGTGGAGGAAACCTGGTCAAAGATTCCTTCAGATCATAACAATTAAATGGAAAATAGCTGTGGAATTGAAAAATAATTATGTTTTATAAGTAAAATGTATCTGGGATTATTCTCTTTATATTAAAGGAGTATGCCAATTTGCCAATGTGTTTGCACTTTAGACAGGCCAGTTCAATTATTGATTAATTCTAAAGTGAGATGCACACATGATTTAACTTTCAACAAGTGTAGTATTTTGGCATACCAGAATAAAAATGTTCCCATTTTTCTAACTTATTTCATTATTGCATCATATGTCTTGCAAGGGAAAGAAAGTGTGGATGATAAACACACTGTCCATTACTTCAGGTTTACAGTTAGATCTGATTATTGTTAGAATAATATTAGAATAATATATTAGAATAAAAAATTAAGCCACAAAGCTCATTCTTTCAGTAATTTAGCATACTTTAAGGACAACAGGATACCGAAGAGCCTGTTCCCAAACTAATTATTTTAAATATAGTCCTATTTTGAAAAAAAAAATTAAAGAGTGTATAATCCTACACAATTTCACTTGGGAAGGCTAGCTCTACTGAAGTTGATCATAGGCTATTTCTGAACTTCTGTAGGATATTAATTACTCTCAATTATATCAGTGTAATTCCATTTTAAAAAGGGGGAAACAGCTTAAACATGCAGGCAAGTCAACATTTTCCTTATTTTTGCTGCACCCAACAATATTCCGAAATAAATTCTAGCTCCTTCTATGGAAACAGGCAGAGGATTATAATCTAACAATCCTCCATGCCCATGGGAAAAGCCTGGAGGCACTCTTTTCAGCAGTGTAATTCTTAACAAGGATGTATAGAAATAAAAAAAAAAAGATAAAGATATGCTTCTATTTGCAAATGATAGCGATGCCAAGAGAAGACAAGGCAGAATGCGTTATGCAAATAATTAATCCGATATCTATAGCTGAATGTGTCAACAGGTACCGTGATGTTCCATGAAACTATTAAGCTATTAAGTCACTTCCCCCAGTGTCTGTCAGAGAATGACATGATTTTCTCATTTACAATTTACGATGACAACTGAGCTCAAAATTCCTGTTGTTAAGTGAGACATTCATTGAGTTTTGCCCTATTTTACGACCTTTCTCACCACTGTTGTTAAGCGAATCACGTTGATCAGTTAGCAAGTCGCTTGGTTGTTAAGTGAATCTGGCTTCCCCACTGACTTTGGCTTGTCAGAAGGTTGCAAAAGGGGATCCTTGGGACACGACACCATGTCGCAAACATGAATTTGGGAACACAGGATCATGGCAACGCTGCAAAGGCGTCACTGTGAAAAATGGTCCTAAGTCACTTCTTTCAATGCCCTGGTAACTTTGAACAGTCCCTAAATGAACCATTGTAAGTCAAGGACTGTCTCTATTTACCACAGCAGGCAGAAATCCAACTGGGCAGATTTCTCCCACTTGGAGCAATCCTTCACCTGCTATTACCCACTTCCACTTTACAGCTGTTATCCTGGTGCTGAGGTGATGGTGGAGGAGGAGGAAGAGGATGATGGGAGTGGATGGTAAGGAAGAAGCCCATCCACCCCACAGCTAAAGAAGAGTTAAGGGACAGGAGGCTGAAGGGAATTTCGCCCAAGGAAGGCGTGAAGGGGCGTGGGAGGGCGAAGGCGAGCCAGCGGGAATGTCTTTCGCGCCGGGTGAGCGTCGAAAGGCGGCAGCCGCGTCCCTCTTCCACCTCCCATCCTGGAAGCAGACACGGCAACCGGCCCGGCGGGAGTAGCGCTCTGCTGCCTGCCCCGAACTTGCTGCTTTCCCCGAAAGTGAGAAATCAAAAGTCAAAGTTAGGAAATCGGTCCGAGAAAAAGAAAGGACGGTTCTTTGTTTGGCAGGGGGAGGAGAAAAAAAACCAAAAACACCACTCTGTGCAACATGTGGGCGCTCGGGACAGGCTGGCTCCGTCGATAGCGCCCTAGCCAAACTTGTGGGGCGCATGGGAGGGGGAGCCGTTGCTCAGAGGCGGTTTGAGGGTTTGGGGGGTCTTAGATCTGAAGCCGTGAGGGGTTGCCAACTTACCTCGGGACCCGGGTGGCGGTGTAACGAAGAGGCTGAGCAGCAGGCAGAGTATCTGGGTCGGGGGGCGAGGGAAAGGAGGGCTGCGTGGTCGTTCTGCCTGGAAGCGCTCTGACATTCTTAATCCAGGCTGCAAGACAAACTTGGATCAGCTGGTCCCAGCCCCATGAATGCACAGTTGCGGAGCGGAGCGAAAAGAGTCCTGAAAACTCAGGATGTGAGATGTTTCCTGCATGCAGTTCACTCCGAAACCCCTCCTGCTCCTGCCTAGGCTGCTGATGAGTTGGGCTTTGGTTTCAATTTTTTTTTTTTTTATAATTTTAAACTGTTGGTGGGTTGGCTTTTTGCCCCCACCCCACCCCCACCTCCTTGGCAAGAACAAATCTGTTGACCGTTTGCAACAACTGAGCAACTCATCCAAGCTGGCAACAGGAGGCACTAAAAATCTTTTCCTGAAAGAAGGCAGGCCTTGTGAAAAACTGCCCTTGCCAACTTTTACAGTTGTCATTATAATGGAACTAATTGTTGTCTTCTTCGCTTTCCTCCTGCTGCTCCTGTGCCGGGTCCTAGCGCCCTTCCAAGCTTGGGTAGACAGAACCCGTCCCTTTACAGAGAGGTTGACCTGCTTGCCAGTTTTCAATCGGTTTGGAAGGAAAGGCGTTCATTTGGAATTGATTTTTAAGGTTGGCTGTAAAATCCCTTTTCTCCTCCAAGGATGATAAATGATCTTGTTTTGTCTCGAAAGTCATTCCATCTCAAGTCTCAAATAGTTGAGTTTGCATGTCTGGAAAATGATTAGGGATAAAAGCTGATGGATTCTCATTCTTAATTTGATTTCAAGTGTTGGTTATGATGCCATTCCTTTTAGGAGAAACTGAGGAAGATTGCAAATCTACCTTTATAATGCTAATAGTTATCCACCTGGTAGATACATTTGAAATAAATCCTGAAGGCAGAGGGATTTACTGGTGTAGAGACCACACAGACACAACTGCTACTATTATGAAGAGGAGGGGGGGGGGAAAGACTGTATAGTTCACTAAATTTAAAATGACAGAACTTTGCTATCCCTGATTGATTTCTTTTATTTATGAAATGCTGTGACTGAAAAAGTTCTGCTCATATGTCCGTGCAAAAAAAAACCCCACCCAAAACATTTAACCTAGGGACCTCAATATCTAACAGATCTTTATAGCTTATGGAGGTCAGATGAATCTGTGAACCTTGCTTTTTGCATCCAAATCTCTGTGGGGTTTAGTGTTTCTCCTGTTTATTTTAGTATTTCTCATCCCTTCCTATTGATTCCAGTGAAAGGGAATTTACTCTGCCATCTCCAAATCTAATTAATTTCTGGACCCATTTTAGAGATTTCTGAGAGTTTTATTTTGCTGACCTATTGTGTCACTTAATACACCTTGTTCTAGTTTCACTTTCTAGCAAAGCATTTCTGATGACACAACAATGGCGGCACATCTTTTCCTGACAAACAAATGGGAATTCTTCAGCATTAACCCTCCCTCTTCAAAGACCAAGTAGATTACAGGGGTGTCAAACTGGTGGTCCATCACTTGAGATTTTCAAGGAGAGATTGGACTGCCTTTTGTCAGAAATAGTGTAGGGTCTCCTGCTAAGGTGGGGGGGGGGTTGGACTAGATGACCTACAAGGTCCCTTCCAACTCTGTTTAACTGTAAAAAAAAACACCCGACCCCAGCTCCCTGAAGGGGAAAAACATCACGATATGTCATGTGACGGCAATGTGATGCTGCGAGTTTGACACCCGTGAAATAGAATGTCCATAAAAACTTGTTACATGCTTTCTAAAATACACTCAGTCTCGATGAAGAAATGTAATCATATATCATTAACTGCAACGCAAATCTTATGCAAGAAAAATGTTCTTAGGGATGCTTCTCCCCTAAAATACAAATGTTCAGTCAGAAAAAAAAATACTGGGTGCAATGTTCATGGCCCATCTGTTGCCACCAAATTGTAACTGAAGGTGGAAGTCATTAAATGTATGGGAAGTAGTCATATGAATTGCAATTAATGTAATGTTAATTCCAATTTAATTACTTGATTTTAGTTTTAGTTCTGGTCCTGCAACATTGTGCATCCTTGTCCTTTCTATAGGTTAATATGTTATTGTAGTGGAGATGGGCAGCTGAAGCTACTAGGTGACTATATTTATATACAACCCGTATCTTTTTTCCAGTGACAGATTTTATTCAAATTGGAAAAAGTTTGCTTTGCCCCAAAGTGGACTACAAATCATGGGAGCAACAAGGACCGTGGAAGCACATTTTCTGGCTAGATCTGGATTTGGGCCATTTGTCCTAATCCCTGAATTGGAACCTCTAAAATAAAGCAGGGAGGGAAAGTACAGATAGTTCTCCCTTAATAAGCGGTCACTTAGCAAATGTTTGGGGTTATGACGGATCTTACCAGAGCTACTTTGCAACCCATTTTCAAATTTCTAATGCCATCTCTCCCCCTTTTGCAATCATATGGTTGCATTTTGGGCCCTTGGCAATTGGCTCAATTTTCAGCATTTTTTGCCAGTTTTGAGGTTTCCAGAAAAAAGCACCTATTGCTGAAAATAGATTTGCTTAACAACCACTATGTTTGCTTAATGACCTCTGCAAAAAATAAAACAAAAGTTTGTAAATCAGGCACAGTCCTTTAACGACTGCCATGACCTTAGAGTCCCAGGGGCCTCCAACCTTGGCAACTTTAAGCCTGGAGGACTTCAACTCCCAGAGCTGGCTGGGGAATTCTGGGAGTTGAAGTCCACCAGGCTTAAAGTTGCTGGCTGGGGAATTCTGGGAGTTGAAGTCCACCAGGCTTAAAGTTGCCAAGACTGAAGACCCCTTAGACCAGTTGCCAAGGTTGAAGATCACTTAGACCATATTTCTGGGCTCAATTATGGTAATTAAATTGAGGACTTGTATAGGCCGAAGCATCAGAAGTATTTTTTTTTTCAGTTATGCTTTTGCTCAGATGTGTAGATTTATTCTTTCTCTCATTTCCTGTAAGGCTCTTCAGTAATCTAGATTTGAAAGCCAAAATGCATTGTGGGCCATAACAGGAATACCCATCTAGTCCTGCATCAGAATGGGTTAAAGCAACTCTTATCTTTTCTTGGCCATGTCTGGCTGTCCTTCCCATGTGTCACATGATTCTGGGAAGAAATGTTCGGGGTAAGGAATTTCCAACAAGCCCTACCTATATGCGCATGCATGCTCCAAATCAAATTTTGATCTTTAAATCTAGATCTAATTTCCCACAAAACTGGGACTTTGCATAACACAAATTTCCCGCTTCTTTGAGTCTTTTTAATCATTGCTAGCTTTTTATATGTATATCTAGGCCTCCCATAATTTGATGCAACTATAATCACACAAGCACTTCTTTTGTGCCATTTATTAAAACAAACATCCTATGTTTATTTTTTTACTGCTGCAGGGTTGAGTTTGCATAAGTTCCACATACTCTGTATTGGTTGGCCCATTAACAAGTTAAAAAGGGAAACTATAGCCATTTATTTAAAAACAGAGTTTTCAGAACAGGATTGCCTCTTCTACCTCACCCCAATTCCTGGTGAAATTCCCTGAGGGACCTCCCCATTTAAATCAGATGGTGGCAGCTTTAGTATCCAGCCATCCTAGAACTCAGGGTGAGAGGCTGTGAGTGTAGAAATCCCAGGACAGGATATAGCAGTCCTGTGGACAGTGTTTATGACCAGATATCCTGTTACAATTACTTGTAAAAATCCTCATGTAAAGAAAAAGCCAGAGCTCTGGGAAGGACGTGGCAAAGCAGACCATGAAAGCTTCATGTTAGTGCATACATATACTGGTAACATTAATAGGTCATCAACTGAGGTTATCTCTTCTGGAACAGCTTTGTTCCCTATGCCATCCGTCTGGTAAACTTGCAAGATTAGTTTTTCTCGCCATGCGCATATATACATCCAAACTAGAATATGTTGTTTCTCTGTGGCATATATGCATAATTTTGTATTTATTTATTTTGTCAAGTTTATGTGTTACTGTATATTGGAGGTGGAGACCCTTTGAGAGCCGTATGCAATGAAATTTCATTTTAATGTATGCCGATTAGTGAACATTTAAAGTGACAATAAAGTTATTCTAACTCTTCCAACTAACTAACTAGTGTATTGAGGAAATAATCTGAGGTAGTGAAATATGTGTGACACTTTTTTTAGTCACTGCTGGTGTGCTGCATTTTATTGAGTATTTATCTCAGTGCATTATTCAAATTAGATGCCATCATAGAACTCTTTATCCTAGATGTTGTAATCAACCATGGAGCTAACATACACCATCATCTGTCAACTGTGGAAGCCTAAAAGATGATTTGTGACTTTGGACTAGTCTGTCCCTTTCATTCCAGTCTATCCTTTAGGAAAGTTGTTGTGGATGGGGAAAAAAGAGCAAGTCTTCAAGCAAATGGAAGTATAACGTTAATCTGGTTTAAAAGAACTAATACAGAGTTACTTGACTTTAAAGTGAAATACCTTGGATAAACATGGCACATGAGGTAGGGATAAATAGGAGCTGACATTTCTTCCTTTTCATTTTGCATGAATTCAAACTAATGAATGGCAAAGAGTTATCATGTCTTAGAATTGATCAGAATTTTTATAAAGTTATAAAATTATTGTATGAAAATCTTCCTTCCTGGTCAGTTATGAACACTTGCAAGCTCACACCAGGTACAGATATTATTTTGGTCTTATTTTAACATATGAGCTTCAAATGGATTGTCTCAAACAGATGTTAGGTATGGATTGTGTCATATAATTAATTAAATGCCTTTTGGATGGACAAATAGAGAAATTAATGGACATTTTGCTACTATTAGGGACTTCAGATCCTTAACAGTTGCAAAAACAGAATTTAAAAGAGACTACATGTATTATCAAAAGTTACAAATGATCCCTAAATCTATATACCGCTAAATTCTCATATTTACTTGTTTGTAACCTTTAACTGGGTAAAATGTTGCATCATAGGGCAACAATTTTTTTAATCACATACCTCAAATGGGCTAACACAGGGGTGTCCAACCTTGGCAACTTTAAGACTTGTGGACTTCAACTCCCAGAATTCCTCAGCCAGCTGGCTGAGGAATTCTGGGAGTT